ATATATATATATATATATATATATATATATATATATATATATATATACACACACACACACATATATATAAAGACGTTTTAAACCCTTCCCACAGTCTTGCAATATAAACAATGTTTCTAAACTCTAAACGCTCTAAAAGAGCTCTGAATGTCATGGACTCAGCTCTCTGCCTCCTCTGCTCTGTGCCAGCTCTCTCAGCCACGCTCACTTCTCCGCTGCAGAGTGGAGATCAGCTGATCAGCCGCAGAAGGAAGCTTGTCCCGCAGCTGTGGAAAAAAAAGGAAAAAATACAATAAGGATTTTATAAATGACTTCTCAGACTTTTTGGCTGAAATTATGCCAAAATACGTCAAAGTTGTCATTGTTGGTGATTTTAATATCCATGTGTGTTGTCCTGATTTACCCTTGGCTCAGTCCTTCTTAAACATAATTGAATCCTTTAATCTTGCGCAGTCTGTGACTTGTCCTACACACGAACATGGACACACTCTAGACCTGGTTTTATCTTGTGGTTTACCTGTTTTTAATGTAGTGAGTAGTGATCCTGTGTTTTCAGACCACATGCCTGTTTTATTTGAAACTAACTCGTCCTGCACTAAAGCTAAACCCCGCACTGCAGCTCGACCCTGTCGAGTTTTGAACTCTTCCACTGCTGGTCACTTTTCACCTGCTTTTAATCAGAACTGTGTCGTCCCAGAAACCAACACCACCGAGGCCCTCAGCTCATGGTTTCACTCCACCTGCACAACGGTTCTGGATTCTGTGTCTCCGTTAAAAATCAGATCTCCTAAAATCAAGTGCAAACCGTGGTTGGATGACAACACTAGGGCAGCCAGGAGAGAGTGTCGCAGAGCCGAGCGCAGGTGGGAAGCGAACAAGTTACAGGTGTCATTTCAAATATTAAAGGACTGCTGGCGTCACTATCAAAAAACTGAAAGATGCCAAAAGAAAATACCTGTCAAATGTGATTGTATCAAACAGTCACAATCCTCATGTTCTATTTAAAGTAATTGGTTCTGTTATTAATGCACCACAAATGAACTGTATTGAATCCTCACCTGCTGCATGTGAAAACTTTCTAAATTTATTTGTTGAGAAAGTCAATTCCACCAGAGCCCAGATCTCTCCTTCTGCTCATGGCCCCTCAGTCTTTGTGCCCTGCTCGGCTGTTTTTGAAGCTTTGAACCTGTGACTGTCATCTCTGCAGAAGGTGGTTAGTCACTTAAAGCCAACAGTTCACCAAGTGATGCTATTCCTCCTCGTTTATTCAAAGAGGTTTTCCTCACTGTGGGTCCTTCGGTCCTTGCTCTTCTGAGCAGCAGTCTGTCCTCTGGTGTGGTCCCTGGAAATTTTAAACATGCAGCTGTCCAGCCTCTCAGTAAGAAACCTACTCTGGACCCCTCTGTTCTTGCTAACTACAGGCCAATCTCCAAACTGCCATTTCTTTCAAAAAGTCTCGAGAAAGTGGTGTACGACCAGCTATCAGCATATTTGAAAGAACAGAACATTCTCGAGGTTTTTCTGGTTTTAAAGCTCTACACTGCACAGAATCTGCTCTTTTTAAAGGTTTTCAACGACATATTTTTAGCAACAGACTCTGGTGACTGTGTTGTCCTCCTGCTTTTAGACGTATCAGCTGCTTTTGACGCCGTGGACCATAACATCTTACTTTGTCGTTTAAAGCAATTGGGGGGGGGGGGGGGGGGGTCAGCAGTGCAGCACTGGACTGGTTTAGGTCCTATTAAGCGGAGCGTACTTTGTGTCCGCCTTAGTGACCATGTGTCCTCCTCTGCTCCTCTCTTGTGTGGAGTTCCACAGAGCTCAGTCTTAGGCCCCCTCCTCTTCACACTGTACCTGCTCCCTCTTAGCTCTATTTTTAGAAAATATGGGATCTCCTTTCATTGTTACGCACATGATACGCAGATATATATCCCACTAGAGAAAAAAGACTAACTCTCTGGCCCCTCTGTTTTCATGTCTGGAGGACATCAAAGCCTGGATGGCTGTGAACTTCTTAAAGTTTAATGAGGAAAAGACTGAGGTGATGGTCTTTGGAAGCTCCACTGAGACTCCCATTGTCAATGTTGGTTCATTGGCCCAGTTTATCAGGCCAATTATTACAAACCTGGGGGTCAAAGTCGATGCTGGACTAAAATTAGAAAACCACGTCAGAGCAGTTGTTAAAACTATTTTTTTCCATCTGAGGCAGCTGGCTAAGATGAAGCCGATTCTTTCTACGCAGCATTTTGAAACAGTAGTTCACGCCTTTGTGACCACTTGGCTGGACTACTGTAATGCACTCTATACAGGAATCAGTGATTCATGTATCTCGCAGCTTCAGAGGGTACAGAATGCTGCTGCACGACTTAACTGGCACACAAAAGTTTGAACACATTTCTGCTGTTTTAGCCTCCCTGCACTGGCTGCCAGTAAATTCCAGGATTCATTTTAAAATTCTTTTATTTGCTTTTAAAGCTCTTAATGGACTCGCCCCGCCCTATCTGTCTGAGTTGCTGCATCCATATACACCCTCTCAATCTCTCAGGTCATGTGATCAGCTGCTCCTGAGTGTGCCAAAGACAAAGCGTAAGCTCAGAGGAGACCATGCTTTTGCTGTGGCAACTCCTAAACTGTGGAATGGCTTGGACATCAGACAGACCTCTTCCCTGCCTGTTTTTAAATCCCTTCTTAAAACCATCTCTTCTCCGTGGCCTTTGACATCATCTGAGATTTTGACTTTTAATCATTTTAACCGCTTGTATTATCTGATTGTATGATTGTTTTTTACACAACTTATATTATGTGACTTTTAATCATTTTTATTATCTGACAATATGATTGTTTTGTTGTGTGTACAGCAATTTGGCCCTGTAGGTGTTTAAAGTGCTCTATAAATAAAGCTGGTATGGTATGGTATGGTATGGTATGGTATGGTATGGTATGGTATGGTATGGTATGGGGCAGCACGGTGGCGCAACTGGTAGAGCTGCTGCCTCTCAGTGAGCGGGTCCTTGGTTCAAACCCCGGTCCAGGGGCCTTTCTGGGTGGAGTTTGCATGTTCACTCCATGTATGCGTGGGTTTTCTCCGGGTACTCCGGTTTCCTCCCACAGACCAAAAACATGCATGTTAGGCTGATTGGTAACTCTAAATTGTCCCTAGGTGTGAATGAGAGAGTGAATGGTTGTTTGTGTCGTGTGTCTCTATGTGACCCTGTGATGGACTTGTGACCCGTCCAGGGTGTACCCTGCCCCTCGCACAGTGATTGCTAGACATGGGCACCAGCGACCCCCGTGACCCAAAATGGAATAAGCGGGTAAAGATAATGGATAGATAGATGGTATGGTATACAGTAACTTATTTTTGTTT